GGTGGTAATAGCAGTGATGTATAACCCCACCACAGAACAGCAGGAGGCCAAGGCAAGAGTACGACGAGAGCAATAGAGCGATGGTTGACACACTGGCTAGAGTGCGCAGAAGAGCTCATGCATGCAGGGCAAAGCTCCTGACATGGTGACTTTAACCACAAGGAGATCGATTGGGAGAACTTGGACCCACATGGGGCCAAGATACATGGAGGGCTAAGATGATGGAGGTGGTACTGGAAAACTTCATGTGCCAACACGTAAGGGACACTACAAGAGAGAGAGGAGAGGATGAACAAGCAAGGCTGGACTTAGTATTTACCTTGAGTAGTGCAGATATCGAGGACATCACATATGAAAGACCCCTTGGGGCCAGTGACCATGTGGTTTTAAAGCTTCGAATACACAGTAGAGCTACAAGTGGAGGAGAAGCAGGAAGGCCAGACGAATGAAGCCAAACTACAAGAAGGGGACTACACAGGAATGAGGAACTACCTGAACAGGGTTTCAGTGGGACAGAGAACTGGCAGGGAAGCCAGTTAATGAGATGATGGAATATGTAGCAACAAAATGCAAGGAGGCTGAGGAGAGGTTTGTACCCAAGGGTAACAGGATTAATGAAAAAGCCAGGATGAGCCCATGGTCTACCCAAAGGTGCAGGGAGGCAAAAACCAAGTGTGCTAGGGAATGGAAGAAATATAGAAGGCAAAGGACCCAGGAGAATAAGGAGAACAGTCGTAGAGCCAGAAACGAATATGCACAGATAAGAAGGGAGGCCCAAAGACAATATGAAAATGACATGCAGCGAAAGCCAAAATCTGACCCGAAACTGTTGTACAGCCACATCAGGAGAAAACAACAGTCAAGGACCAGGTTAATCAGGCTAAGGAAGGAAGGAGGAGAGAAAAACAAGAAATGACGCCTGAGGTGCACATAACAAATAACTTCTGGGATATGCTTCGTTCAAAATGACAGAGCTTGGTAGATGGGGAAGGAAGAAGGATGGGTAAGGATGAAATATTGGAGAGGGTTGGAGGGGGGGGAGAGGTAGGATATAAAAAGGTAAGTGGCCCAAACTTTGGTGTAATTTAAAAAGTGTATTGAATTGATATGTTATTTTTTAAGAGGTATAATATAACCCATCAGAGTCACATAGATATAATAGGTATATAAGTACATGACTCTGAATTGGTTGTAATTATACAAGTTGCAATTGCTTTTTTTTTTTTTTTTTTTTTTTTTTTTTTTTTTTTTTTTTTTTTTTTTTTTTTTTTTTTTTTTTTTTTTTTTTTTTTTCGCGATTGCACAACGGATATTTATACGACAGGAAAGGCAATATTTTCTGGCCAGTTTATCAGCTCGTGACAATAGCTTCTTAATGGTGGTGTCCAACAATAGTCAATAGCATAATTTTACATTAGAAAGTTATTTAAGATGTCTCCCTAATTGGGGGCGATGATTTTTTCAGTATACATAGAAGGGTTCTGGTAGTATCCAATCTTCTTCGTCAGGTAAGTTGCTCAAAATCATGGGTCGAGGGTAATCATCTTTATGAATAAAACGACGAACCCTCTGTGGGAGACTGTGGCATATGAGCGCCTAGCAAACCTAAGAATAGCGTTCCGACACCTCAGTAAGGAATCGTTCAAGACTGTACACCGTGTACGTCAGGCCCATACTGGAGTATGCAGCACCAGTCTGGAGCCCACACCTAGTCAAGCACATCAAGAAATTAGGGAAAGTGCAAAGGTTTGCAATAAGATTAGTCCCGGAGCTAAAGGAGTATGTCCTACGAGAAATCGACCTGACGACACTGGAGGACAGGAGGGATAGGGAAAACATGATAACGACATATAAAATACTGAGAGGAATTAACAAGGTGGACAGGGACAGGATGTTTCAGAGATGGATCACAGCAACAAGGGGCTACAACTGGAAGCTGAACTCAGATGAGTCACAGGGATGTCATGAAGTATTTCTTCTTGACATCCCTGTCAATAAGTGGAACAGTCTGGAGAGTGATGTAGTGGAAGCAGGATCCATACATAACTTTAAGAAGAGGTATGATACAGCTCATGGAGCAGAAAGAGTGACCTAGTAGCGACCAGTGAAGGGGCGGGGCCAAGAGCTGTGAATCAACTACTGCAACCACAACTAGGTGAGTACACACGCACATGTACACACACACGCACATACACACACACACACACACACCCACACACACACACACACACACACACACACACACACACACACACACACACACACACACACACATCCCTGGTTTAGCGTTTTCTTATGAATAATAATAATAATAATAATAATAATAATAATAATAATAATAATAATAATAATAATAATAATATACTAATAATCAATATATTATTGGGAATCTATAAACCCGCAGGGGGTTATACAGCTCCTGAGGAACAGGCGGCAATGAGTACTGATACCAGGAAAATGAGGGTAGCTCCCGTTCCCCGGATCACGAGCCCTTCAGAGTTCGGCATCAGAGGTCCAGTGGAGATAAATTACTCAGCTTCAGCGCCAGAAGGGCATCTGTGACATATCAATACAGAGCAATAATTCTGAGGTACAATAATGCTGAGAAGAAAATCTGGCCGCATATTAAAAGTAAAAGTGAAACTAAAAGAGAGAGAGAGAGAGAGAGAGAGAGAGAGAGAGAGAGAGAGAGAGAGAGAGAGAGAGAGAGAGAGAGAGAGGAGAGAGAGAGAGGAGAGGAGAGAGAGAGAGTGGTCCTTGGTCAAGGACAGACAAGGTTATTTGCCTGATGAACTCATTCCACCTCTAAATCGACAGGATGGGACCACCTCTACTAGTAGTCAAGAGAAGGCAGACATCTTTGCTGAACACTTTGCTACCAAAATGCAAGTTCCTGATCCAACAAGGGACCCTCCTTGGCTAGCTGCAAGAACTGTGTCAAAACTGCCAGTGGTGACAATAAGGCAGGAGGAGGTGCATTTCCTTCTTAAATCACTTGACCAAGAAAAGGTTTTGGGCCCAGACAAGTTGAGCCCAAGATTGCTGAGAAGATGTGCAGACCAGCTAGCAGCACCTCTAACTCACATCTTTCAGCACTGCCTAGTACAGTGTAAATGGCCCTCTCTATGGAAAGAGGCAAATGTAGTCCCTGTTCACAAAAAGAAGAGCAAGCAGAAATCAGCAACTACAGACCAGTGTCACTCCTGTCAATCACTGGTAAGATCCTTGAGACAATAATCTCAAGACAAATGACAGAGTTTTTTGACTACCACTCACTACTTTGTGATCGTCAATATGGCTTCAGGAAAGGTTACTCTGCTGCTGATCTGTTGTTAAACCTCTCCACTAAGTGGCGCCAGTCACTGGATGAATCCAACGTCAGCTGTGTGGTAGCACTGGACATTGCAGGCGCTTTCGACCGAGTGTGGCACCAAGGCCTCTTAGCAAAACTTCAAGCACTGGGAATTGCAGGCTCTACGTTATGTCTCCTCAGTGATTACCTTCATGGTAGATCTCTAAGTGTAGTTCTCAATGGAACGGAATCAGCAAGACATCCTATTGGAGCAAGTGTTCCACAAGGAAGCGTACTGGGACCATTGTTTTGGAATGTCTACTTCAACGACCTTATTCATCTCATCCCAGAATCACATGCATATGCAGACGACTGTACACTGACACTCACTTATCCAAGAGAAGAAATGCCAGCTGCTCTAAGCTATATCCATCACCAGCTGAGAGCTATATCAGCTTGGGGAAATAGATGGCAAGTAACATTTGCACCTGAGAAAACACAAATGATGATCGTCTCTAGGCACCATGATGCTAATGCTGGTAAGGATGTATGGGAGGGTGTTGGCACCTGGAGAAGTTGATATCCTTGGGGTGAAATTTGACTCCAAACCAACCATGAAGAACCATGTTGTAAATCTTGCGAACAAGGCAGCCAAAAAGCTTACAGCACTTCGCCGTATCTCGCATATGCTTGACAGTAGGGGTTGCAAGATTCTGTACGAGGCACAAGTACGCTCACACCTTGAGTATGCTCCACTTTCTTGGTTTGCCTGCCCACCCCCTCTCATCTGCAACTGCTTGATAGAGTAGAGAACAGAGCAAGACGTCTCATCTCTCGCCTGGACCCATCCTGGATAAATCTGTCATTTCAGCAGAGCCTTCAACATAGGAGGGATGTGAGTGGCCTTACTGTTATGTACAAGGCCAATATTGTCAAAGTACCACACTTGGATCCACTTCGAGGACAGTGTGAAACAAGCTTTAATGCCACAAGACGGGCAGAAAGCAGCAACTTCACTCTGGCTGTACCCTTCTCCAGAACATCACTCCATCTGAGATCATATATACCCAGGATGACTCGAGTATGGAACACATTCGTACAGCATAATGATGTCAACGAGATAAAGTCAGTTGATCACATGAAAATGCTGGCCCACAGATGGCTCCAACTTCATCCTGTTCCCTACTTGCATGTCTCATAACTATAAATATGCTTTCAAATGAGCTGATGTAGGTAACAGCTCTTAGCTTGTCAATAAAGTTAGGAATCCTTAACCTTGTCAAACCCTGTGTAAAAAAAAAAATAAAAAGAGAGAGAGAGAGAAAGAAGAGAGAGAGAAAGAGAGAGAGAGAGAGAGGGGAGAGGGGAGAGAGAGATAGAGAGAGAGAGAGAAAGAGAGGAGAGAGAGGAGGAGAGAGAGAGGAGAGAGAGAGAGAGAGAGAGAGAGAGGAGAGAGAGAGAGAGAGAGAGAGAGAGAGAGAAGAGAGAGAGAGAGAGAGAGATTTTAACGCTAACGAAATAAGCATCCTGACGGTATCCTTCCTTAGGTGTGTGTGTAGATACATATATATATATATATATATATATTATATATATATAATATATATATATATATATATATATATATATATATATATATATATATATATATATATATGCACTAAACACTTATGGGTTTGACAACATGGAAAAGATGGTCAACACTCACCTCAGGTCTTCCGGGTCTTCTCAACGTGACTTGGAAATTCTCACTGTAAATTATTGAAAGATTCAGTTATTCTTAAATCAAAGGGAAGGGGGAATATTATTCTTAATCTGAACTTAATAATTTGTATACACAATATTATTATTTTGAAGTTAATAGTCTGGAAATCCAAGTAATTTATTACAAATAAATTTATTGTAAGTTTAGAATAAGTTCCTTGAAGAACAATCTCGTTATTGGAAAATTATAGACAGATGTCCTTAATAATTTGATTTTCTTAATATTAATTAGAAATTGGCTGACTGAAAAAAATATTAATTTTTATAATTTTAAATAATGCAATTATATAATTATTATATTTACATTTAAGCACTAAACTCGTGTGGGTCATACAATGTATGGAGTGGTGGAGGCTCGATACTGCGTCTGCGATAATAATATAAGCAAAATAAACCCGGTCCGGGTCTTTTCAAGATTGTGACCCGGCCAAGTTATATTCCAGATCACGAATAACAACTAATTCATAAGGGAAAATACATGCATTGAAGTTGGACCTACCTAGCTCACACTAGGTAGGTCCAACTCGCCCAGTCCTGTATTTATCCAACCCATCCTTCAAAATTCATCATATAATTATTTGATAAAGATCTATAAGAACTTACAAACACAATATTACCACCAGATAAGAAATTCAACAATTAGAAACTAAAATGATATATTGGTTAACTTCAAAATAAAATTTAGAATAGGCTATGAATATAAAAATTGTAAAATCTTTCAGAAATTAGAATATACATGTATTGTATTGGTATTTATATATAAGAGAACATATAATGGTGATGGTATTGACCTACACCATCTATAAAATAATCTATTAGATAAAATATAAAATGTTCAAAGATATGATCGACCCAAGACGACCACACAGAATATAATGAAACCAGAAATAAAATCATGACAGGACACGAGGAAATAGATAAAGATGGATTTATAGCAACTGAAGGTATTACAGTGCAAAATTAAGAAAAGTAAGGTGCTGATAAGATACAAGAAAATACGAACATCTTTTTCAGTAGTAGGTAGGCTGCTGGAATGGCATGCATTTAGAAAGTTCATTATAAGCACTAGAAATTTTAAGTTATACACGACAAACTAAACACTGAAGATGGAACACCACAACCATACTTCTAGTAACTAAATAGGTAATGTTTTGGGTTAAGTTAAGTAAGGTTTGTCAGGAAACAGGACAAGTGTTTCCTGACTAGGGTCTTAGTCATATAATGATCCACAGCTGGAGCTTTTGGTCATCTGACTTAGGCCTTCCACTGGCTTACCCCTCCACCACTTTAAAAGTTATGGTTATGACCCATTTCTTGTTAACATTTCAGTGTGGCCCCTGAGGCTAAGACTTGACCTCCCACACTCACAACAACCTAGTATCATTTAGCTTGTAAATCAGCTCAAATAGGCACGAAATGGGAATTCACTTCATTCTGCATGTATCTGTTTTTGTCGTTTCCTCGTACACTCTTTCTGATTTAGAGGACGAACATTACAAAAGTCTAAAAAAGAGAAAGAAGATAAATAATCAATCACGTATCCCACACATGCAACTTGCTGGTACATGTGCCTTCAGGCAGGTCATGTTGCACCTACATCAGCCATTACGTAGCGTAGTTTACTTTCAACCATTGTATTACCAGTATAGGATACTGCACTTCTCTGCTAATAATCACTAGCTTAAAGCTATCAATTTTATTTTCACTCTCCGTGTGCTCTTTAAGAGGCGAAATGCGTACATGGGTGACGTCTCACAAATCTTCAACACTTTGAATCTATTTTCCTGGCGTTTTAATTGATGAACAGTTTGCGTTACACTTTAATGGTGATTCATCCATCGTGGATGATGTGATAAGTGTGGAAGAGAGGGCACAAGGAGGCAGCAGGCGGTAAATAGGAAGGGAGACAGGAAATTCACTTCACCTGGGCAAGGGCTGTGGCCACACTGATGCCCCAGCCAGCCATCACCCGCACCCCCCCCCCTATCCTGCCTCTCTTCCCTGCCTCCTCCAGTCAAGGTAAAGGGGTCTTGATGTGGTGAAGGGGTCTTGATGTGGTGAAGGGGTCTTGATGCTGGTGAAGGGGTCTTGATACTGGTGAAGGGGTCTTGATGCTGGTGAAGGGGTCTTGATGCTGGTGAAGGGGTCTTGATGCTGGTGAAGGGGTCTTGATGTGGTGAAGGGGTCTTGATGCTGGTAAAGAGTTGATGCTGGTGAAGGTGTCTTGATGCTGGTGAAGGGGTCTTGATGCTGGTGAAATGGTCTTGATGCTGGTGAAGGGGTCTTGATGCTGGTGAAGGGGTCTTGAAGCTGGTGAAGGTGCCTTGATGCTGGTGAAGGTGCCTTGATGCTGATGAAGGGATCTTGATGCTGGTGAAGGGGTCTTGATGCTGGTGAAGGGGTCTTGATGCTGGTGAAGGGGTCTTGATGTAGTGAGGCCTTGATGCTGGTGAAGGGGTCTTGATGCTGGTGAAGGGTCTTGATGCTGTGAAGGGGCTTGATGCTGGTGAAGGGGTTCTTGATGCAGGTGAAAGGGGTCTTGATGTTGGTGAAGGGGGTCTTGATGCTGGTGAAGGGGTCTTGATGCTGGTGAAGGGGTCTTGATGCTGGTGAAGGGGTCTTGATGCTGGTGAAGGGGTCTTGATGCTGGTGAAGGGGTTTTGATGCTGGTAAAAGGGGTCTTGATGCTGGTGAATGGGGTCTTGATGCTGGTGAAGGGGTCTTGATGCTGGTGAAGGGATCTTGATGCTGGTGAAGGAGTCTTGATGCTGGTAAGGGGTCTTGATGCTGGTGACGGGGTCTTGATGCTGGTGAAGGGGTCTTGATGCTGGTGAAGGGGTCTTGATGTTGGTGAAGGGCTCTTTATACAAGGAACTGGAGCTACCCTCCTGCTGTTTTCTAAACCTGATTATTTCCCTGCTCCCCCCCCCCTCCGGGCGTTGTCTGACCCCACGGATTTAGCCCTTCACTGCGACCATAATCCTATTCCTCCTTCACCTCCTCTCTCTTCTTTTATCACTTCTTCCTCCAGTTATCAGAGAGGCAATGGGACGCAGACTGTTAGTACTGGGATGGGAAAAGTTACATCCAGCTCCTTATCTGGAGAATGTTTCGGGGGTCAACGCCCCCCTCCCCTGCGGCCCGGTCCATGATCAGGCCTTGAATAAATGTACCCCCTCATGAAGGGCCGCCTCACTGTCAAAGGGACCTGAAATCGATTCCCAGCCGGGCTCATAGTCGCCTAGCAGTAAATGGGTACCGATGTGTTTGTCTCCTCTTGTGGGTGGTATCCTGGGGAGGCTGCTAGCATGCCTTACATAGGCTTGGACATGCAAATGATATGGGTAAAATAACGCCTGTTAGCCTATAAATGAACTGAACTAGGATAACAGCTCTTAGTGTCAATGATATTGTGAATTATTATTATTATTCTTAAGTCAGAAAATCACCTGCAGAAGGCTTACAAGGCCTTATCTGAATTTTTACCTGCAAGTAATTTGAGTGAGGTAAGTGGGACTTAGTCACAGTATGTCACTGAACTGCAACTCTGTCGATTGTCCACTTCTTCTCCACTCTCACAAAAAGCTAGACCTAATATTAAATTAATAATTATAATATTAAAACCAGCTACTCTGGTTATTATAGTTGTGGACTGTATATACGGATTAGGCTTGCTGGATACACAGATTATAATTATGATGCATAAGTTATTAGTGTTATTAGAAAAGAAATTCTTATTAACACTTACCATTTAATTACTGTAGATGGATCATACCACAACACCTGCCTAACACCTAGACCCTACACTGGCCAGCTAGAGGTCAAAATGCAGGGACTAATGATACACTTCCCTGTCAGTGATGTTCATATCCCTTATTTTCCGCCACTCACACGTAATTCTTGAGGTCCCGCAAATTTCCTGTCCCATTCTTCAGCAGGGGACATTAACATGGGTTATTAATTACAAATTCAGGCCGAACCCCCCCTTCCCCAGTTTGGCTCAGAAGACGCTGGATTATTAGCAGAATTTCCCTCGACAACCAGCGTTCACACATTACAAATGGCATCTCTCGCTTTCTGCGGCGTCACTACCTCACTTGAAATTTCTCGAAGGGTACAAATAGCATCACATTTTGATATGCAGTTATTATATTATTCATGTATATGTTCTACATTTAGGAAATTATGTAAAAAAATTTCCAAAAATGAGCTGAGGTAAGATAACAGCTCTTAGTGTCAATGAGCTGAGGTAAGATAACAGCTCTTAGTGTCAATAAGCTGAGGTAAGATAACAGCTCTTAGTGTCAATGAGTTAAGGTAAGATAACAGCTCTTGGCCTAATAGAGAAAGTTTGTGAGAAAAAAGAAAAATGGATGCTTAGCCCTACGGCATTTAGTGCTATCCCATGAATGTAATAATTAAAACGGAAGAAACAGGAAGAACAGGGAAGAAGATGGGGCGAGGAACAAGCAAGATAGGAGGAAGAGGGAGAACAAGGAAGATTAGGGGAGGAACAAGGAAGAGGAGGAAAGAACAAGAAGATGAGGGGGAGGAACAGGAAGATTAGGGGAGGAACAGAAAGAAGAGGGGGAGGAATAAGGAGAAGGGGAAGGAACAAGGAAGAGGAGGGAATGAATAAGGAAAAGGAGAGAAAAACAAGGAAGAGGAGGGGAAGGAATAAGGAAGAGGAGGGAGGAACAAGGAAGAGGAGAGAGGAACAAGGAAGAAAAGGGGAGGAACAAGGAAGAGGAGGGAAAAACAAGGAAGAGGAGCGAGAAAAAGGAAGAGGAGAGAGGAACAAGGAAGAGGAGGAGGAACAAGGGAGATGAGGGAGGAACAAGAAAGAGGAGGGAGAAACAAGGAAGAGGAGGAGGAACAAGGAAGAGGAGGGAGGAACAAGGAAGAGGAGGGAGGAACAAGGAAGAGGAGGGAGGAACAAGGAAGAGGAGGGAGGAACAAGGAAGAGGAGGGAGGAACAAGGAAGAGGAGGGAGGAACAAGGAAGAGGAGAGAGGAACAAGGAAGAGGAGAGAAAAACAATGAAGAGGAGCGAGAAATAAGGAAGAGGAGAGAGGAACAAGGAAGAGAAGGAAAGGAACAAAGGAGAGGAGGGGAGGAATAAAGAAGAGGAGGTATTCACCTAATTGTGATTGCAGGTGTCGTAGATGTGTTGTGTTGTAGAGGTTTGAGCGAAGCTCAGACCTCTACAACACAACTGTCATCAAATATTTGTTAAATTGAACCATGAATTAAAGAAAGATCCTGGACTTCACCTTACGAAACAGACAAAGCAAATGCCATAGTAATTATGGACAAAGTAGATTACAGTGGAAAAATGAACATGTTATTAGAAGACGGGCTAACTTTGGTGGCTCTTAACCTCACCACCGGCGGATTATTTACGGAGGACGCTCAATAATTGTCAAGAACCCCAGAAGCAATAATGGATGAAGTTTCTGGGTTCCAGGAGATGGAACTCACCTCCAGGGACGCTGACTGCCTGGGGCAATATTCGGGAAGCTGTGATTGGCTGTGAGGGGTGAAATAAAGAGACGGTATTGGTCTGCTGGGGATGACGTCATGACTGACAATGCAGTGATTGGTTAAAATGCTGATGCGAGGCGAAGCTTTTGTTTAAGCTTGATGTGACGTCACGGGGCACCTGAGATCTACCTGCTCTTTTTTCTTACCATCGCCTTATTAAAGAATAAAAAGTCACAATACCGTGGCTGGAACAATATACAAATAACCCGCACTTAGGAGGACTGAAACTTATGGCGACTTTAGTATAACAAATCCCCGAGCAGCGAGTACAACATTCATGAATTTGTAGTTGAATGCGCCCGGGGTACGCGAGCTGAGTGTAAATGTTACATTATAAGAAGGTGCTAGTCATGCCTCCTATCCAGCCACTACTATGTTCTCTCGTACCACTTCTTGCTGCTAGCAAGACAACCTGGATGCTCTCTGTGTGTACTCACACGAAAATTTTTGCTTGGTATACGACCTTTGTTTGGAATACGACTCGCTTGCTAGAACTTGTAGGGGCCAAAATTATAAAGATGCCGCCAATGATTTTGCTACAGAGTTTGGGGAATTTGTGGAGGCTGAGGGTTTTGTTTCCGAACAAGTTTTTAATTGTGACGAAACAGCTTTGTTTTGGAAGAAAATGCCTAACAGGAACTATATTACACAAGAGAAGGCATGACCAGGACATAAGCCAATGAAGGATACCTGGAGTTTACCTAGAGAGAGTTCCGGGGGTCAACGCCCCCGCGGCCCGGTCTGTGACCAGGCCTCGTGGTGGATCAGGGCCTGATCAACCAGGCTGTTACTGCTGGCTGCACGCAATCCAATGTACGAACCATAGCCCGGCTGGTCAGGTACCGACTTTAGGTGCCTGTCCAGTGCCTGCTTGAAGACAGCCAGGGGTCTATTGGTAATCCCCCTTATGTATGCTGGGAGACAGTTGAACAGTCTTGGGCCCCTGACACTTATTATGTTGCCTCTTAACGTGCTAGTGACACCCCTGCTTTTCATTGGGGGAATGTTGCATCGTCTGCCGAGTTTTTTGCTTTCGTAGGGAGTGATTTTCGTGTGCAAGTTTGGTACTAGTCCCTCTAGGTGTATATAATCATGTATCTCTCCCACCTGCGTTCCAGGGAGTACATAGGTTAACTCTCTTGTTCTGTGCCAATGCAAGAGGGGATTACAAACCGAAGCCTCTACTGATCTACCACTCTGAAAACCTGAGGACCTTTAAAAAGCATAACGTGCAGAAAACTCAGTTACCTGTGATGTGGAGGTCAAACAGCAAGGCTTGGGCAACCAGAGAATATTTCAGCGAATGGTTTAATGTTGTGTTTGGGCCAAGTGTACACAGTTATTTAGAGGAGAAAAACCTGCCTCTGAAGGCCCTCCTCATAATGGACAATGCTCCAGCTCACCCTCCAAGCTTGCAGGACTATGTGCTGCTGGAGTTTGACTTCA